CACACACACACACACATACACATACAGACTTCCTCGTGTCTCATCTTCCGGTGGTAGGATTGCTTGAACTATAACCAGGGGCTAGAGAGCACTTTTCTTTTCTAGTTTCTACTCAGAAAAAGCTGGCAGCCTTCCATGTCACCCAGGCTAGAGCTGTTACTATTTCAGTATCGGGTGTGGGTGGGGTTGCCTCCAGAACCCAGAGAGGCCCACCAGGTTTTGTGCCTCCTTATTTATAGTAGATGAGATGAGATGCAGCAACCTGTGCTGCTCAAGAAAGTGATGACTTCAGAGGCTTTTTCTTGGCCTTCTCCATTATGATGTTTCTGACCCCACTACCAAGGATTTAAATGAACCAAATTGCCATGAATATCAATCTTATTTTTTTCATTAAGGATGGGTGAAATGACCACCCACTGGTTTTATGGGCCGCATTAATTTCACTGCCTATACGCAGGTTCTTCAGAAAGTTCATGGAAGATGCAGATTGTGGAAAAGGCTATGAATGGATTTTGAAATGGTTTGCACCAAAGTAAACTCACACTTTAATTCCATTTTTCACACAAAATGTCCTCATAGGGTCCAAAAGTCCCAATTTGAACAGGCTATTGTGAAGGTACTTTAGGTCTTCAAGAAATCTCCACCAGCTCGGACTGTGTGCAAAAGTCCTCTAGTATGTGTGGTTATTCTCCTGCATACAGCACATAGTACCGTGTACATGACTGTAAGTCCCTCTGAGCAGGACTGGCAAAATCATTACTGTTATGGGACCAGCAGGTGGCCTTGTGGTTATGGCACTGGACGCCCACATGGTTGACTGTGGTTCAAATCCTGGACCTGGCGGCTTGCTTTCTCACTTCTGTCTCTCACTCTCTGTCTCTGGTGTCCTATAGCAAATAAATAATAATAATAATAATAATAATTAGTAAAATTGGGGCTGACAGGTAGTGTGGTGCTTAAAGGGGCTGGATTCCCATGTGGCAGATCGCGGTTTGAGTCCCTGGACCAGGTGGCTTGCTTTCTCATTTTCTCTTTCTCTCTGTCTCTCCCTCTCTGGTCTAATTAAAAATAATAATAATAACAGCAAATGGAATTAAATAAATAAAATATTTTTTAAAAGAATAATTGATGGTATCAGCAGTTAGCGTAATGTCGCTGGACTCCCACGTAGTCGACCACAGTTCGGTGGCTTAAACTCACGCTGGGTGCATGTGCATGCGTGCCCAAGATCCTAAGAGGAGAATGGAGGAGAAGGGATTGCAGTGTGGCCATCCACCCTGGGGGGTGATTTCTCGCTTTCTGTCTCTCTGTTTCTCTCTGTCTGTCTGGCGAG